CAATTGGAGATACACTGAGAACGTCTGTTAAGACCTGAATATGTATCTGCCTCATCTCCTTTGTGTGTCTCTGCCCGCAGCAGTGTCACTTAGAGCTATGCACCATTTTTTCCTCTCTACCCAGCCCAGCAAAATTGGTAATAATCAAACAAGAAGTATCAGAGCATCCCTTCTGCAATGGCTCCACAGCTCAAGAAGGGGCAGCTCCAGCCATGGAAAACACCTCACTCAGATTCAAAACTGCATTTCCCCATCTCACACACCAGTTTGGAGCTCACACAAATGTTATGAGAACATCATCATATTTCACCATCAGACAGGCAGCAAAATCAAGAAGGTCAAGTCCTCTTTTTTTTTTTATCATGTTGCTGCACTGTCCCACATAGGAAGCAAACAGATGGAGTTTTCTTCAACTAAAACATCCTGCCATTGAATTTAAAAGCAAAATCTTTGGAGTTTTTAAGTGGACTGTGCTAATATTCCTATACCTCAATAAAACCATAAATCTGATATGCTTTCACTCCATACCCTATTTTACATGCTTCATACCAAAGCCAGTAAAATAATTCCTCAGCCTTTATGTGTAATTTCTAACTGAAAATACTACATGTCGCTCCTGAATAGCTTTGCTAGCTCATATGACTCTTTTGACCGACACTGTTTTGAACACTAAGTCTATCACTAATGCTGAAGTCCGACACACTTTAAATCACAGATGTATTTGAAAAGTGATACTCAACAAAGCAGCATGAAGGGAGATGGAGACACACGTTTCACTTGCCAACAACTCAAAGTCAACAGAAAAAGAGCTAAAATAAATACAGCAGTGCACCACACCACAGCATATACCAAATAGACCACAGAGAAATGACCATACATGGTCTTATTCTTTACATCATGCACAGAAAGCCTATTAAACAAGGGCAGAAAGTTTATCACTAAGCCAGGATGTGATTCGCTTTATGTCCCACTGTGATTTTATACAGGTATTTGGAGCTCAAAACAGGGATTGACTGTGGGGCATCAGAGGACAGCGTCTGGCTTTCTGAAATGCCCCCGAGGCAACAGTGTGCTAACCTGGCTGCGTTCTTAAACCTGAATTTCACGGGACAGTTCGTAGGGTGGATTACCCATTGGCAGACATGAAAAAGAATCCACCTCTCTCAGAGGACGCTAAACCTCCAGATCTTCCACTTCGTGAAGGCAAAGGCCAGTATTTCAAGTCTGAATGCCCAGAACTAGGTAGAGCATGATGCCAATATTGAGAAGGGTTGAGCACACCCTGCTTTCTGTCTGAAATTAAAGCCCATTAATTGAAAGGATACACCCCACCCTGATTCACTAAACAGAGAGTGTATCTGAAGAAATCAGGGGAGCAGCAGCATTGCCTTCTTGTAGCACATACCCAGTGAAACAGCACCTCTGTTCAATGATGCTTGTCAGCTTCCTTCACCATGAGGACTTCTCAGAATGTCATCCTCAATTTCAAAACCCGAACCCAGCCCTCACAATTGAGAACTGATCATGGACTACCCCTAGCTCTGCAAACAGTCTTTGGTGTGACCAGCAATAGGAAGAAACTTACTTTTGCAGGAAGTTCTAGCTTCTGGTGAATACATTTGATAAAAGCAGTACGAGTTCATCTCAACTTCTTCTATGCGGCTTGTTGGACAAATTTCCAGAGATAATGCCAGCACTGTTTGCTGATGTCCCACTTCTTAACTTGCTTCTCACATATTATAAAAAAATGAGTTAATGGGCAAAATTCAGAAACAATGAACATTTGCCAAGGGAAGAATTCTCCAAAACCTCTGAAATAAAGATCTCTACCCTCCCCCCAACTTTTTTTTTTTTTTTAAAGAAGTGCAGACAAAAACTACTTGGTTTTGTGCACCTACTGACAAACTAGACTCTCTGTAAAATATAAAAGCACAACTAAAATAATTCTTGGCAAAGTAATACAACCTTAGCTACAGAGCAGTTACAGACAGCTCCATTACATTACACCTTTTATTACAAATTTGTTGTGTTTGAGATGCATAGTTATGGGTATGAGCTAATACCAAGAAAGCAAACAGTCACCATTTCAGGACATGTGTGTTTGAGAATGAGAACATCTTTTACTCCATGGAGTGAAGAAAATATTGTCCTCACAAAATTCTTAGAGAAGTTGTTGTAATAAAATTATTAATAATTCCTACAGTATTCGGGTTGCGCTATGTCATAAATGTAACTTAAACTAGAAAAAATGCACTTGACTCAAAGTTAATATTTTTGTGGTATCCTAACAATTTTCTTTTAGGTATTGATTTGTAATCTGTTTTGTGGTATCTAACCCGAATTTGCTGAGTTGGGTTTTGTGGTTTTGCTTTTTTAAAGCCACTTTAGGAATAAATTCTGGATACTTTACTACCCAATATATTCCTAAATAATGATACATTCTTTGTTCATCAATGCTATGATACCCACCACTGTAACCATACCAGAGTAAGAAATAACATTTGACTGAATTTTATAGCATATTATTATGCCAGGACACAGCACTGAAGAAGTGTCTTCCCAGCTGCAGGGAACTATGTTGGTTAGTATCATGAAGCATTAACAGACCTGAAATAACTGCTCCTGTATAGCAAAAGCATTATCATATTTTCACTTCCAATACTCTCTATGTAACATTGCAGCTTTTCACTTTTTTTTCCCCCCCTTTATTTGACTACATTTATAGGATATACCCGTTACGGATCTAGCTGTAAAATCTACTCCTTTTCCTGAAATGGTTCGAAGCCCACCAACACATACAAAAAGTTCAAACTATTTTTTCCAACATACAAAATTACCTCAATTACACTGCTCAGTCGCTGTTCATTAGGCTTCCTGGTTAAAACTAATGAAGTGTAGAAGGAACAACTCTTTGTGAAATTCTGTAGAAACTCATTAACCAGGCTGCCCAGCTCTGTCTCCCACAGCGCTAACAGCGGTGTGAATCCATAGGCACCTTAGGGAATTATTCCGGGTTTTCTGGATACCGTTTCTAAAAATAAGTATATTATTGACTTTCTAAATAGTATCCAGTCACTGACTGGAGCCGTACTCAGCCTGATTTATTAATGAGCACAGTCCCAAAGTGGCAGACATCCATTTCACCCATACAGATGTGGATCACACCGGCCCTCCCATTGAAGACCTATCTGTTCAATGATCCAGGACGTCAACATTAAAATACACCGGAGCCCAGACCAGCAGGATCTGCTTCTCTTTGAGCATACTCTGGTAGTTTACCCTCTCAGTAACAGTGGCTCACAGAACTAGAAAACCCTCAATCTGCTTTTTTGCTTTAGTACAGAATTAAGGAACTCCTTCGGTCCTGCAGGTCCACTGCAGAAGGATGACAAACAGCAGTGCAAGTGGATTTGTGTCATCCTATGAAAAACACAAGTGTGTACCCATTATACCATTGGTAATGGATGAGAGGCTGCAAGACAACAAAGAGGGAAACACATGAACAATTAAAAAGGATCCGTTTTAGGCACCATACATATCTTTCACATACCAATTATCTGCAAGTTGCTATGCAGCACAAATCTCTGTAGTGCCTGAATTTGTAAAATTCCAATTACATTGCAGTTGCCTCTCTCAATTCTTTTGTCTTTGAAGAAAAAAGGAGAACTGTTGCTGCCAGTAGAAGTGTATGTGCCACCACATGGCGCCTATTTGAATGAATAGGAAATCTGAAAGCAAAGTCTATGCTAATTAGCTGGCTATACTGAGGGTACGTAGCAAGTCTTAAGGATACTGACATAAATTAAAATAGAAGATTGAGCTTCTTTTGAAGACATTACAAATTAATTCACACGAAGGCTGACAAGTGTGAACATTTTCAGGTTTAAAGACAAATTCACAAGTTCTAAGCCAGAACAAGAATGCCACCCCAACCGCAACATCACCAGTGCCATGCTGGAAAGTGAAGCCTGTCCTATTCCATACCTTTTAAATTTTACATCCTTTGCATGCCCTAGGGGACCAGTCATTAAAAGGTCACTTCAGAAATAAATTACTTTCTCCCTCATGGCAAGTTTCTATGAAGTAAAAACCTAATGTTGACACTTCCCCACAGCAGGGTATTTATTGTCTCTTCCAGAGAGGGCAAGCAGGGCTATGAGTCTGACGGCAGTAACAGAGGCACACAACAGAAAACAGAAAAATGAAAACTGAACAGGCATGGCTGGGAAGACTTCCTCTCTACCATGCACACTACCTTTAGCCATGAGCACAAATAAAGGCATCAAACAAGCCTTCTCTTCCCACCCCTTTCCTTCTCTACTCATTTCTCTATAAAAGATGCTTCTGAAAACTGAAGTCTGCTAGGAGAATGATTAAAGTCTTAATCATCGAGAGCAAGTGATGCTTGAAACAGATGAGCAGGCATGGTAGACATTTTCAGGAAAGCAAATTTCCATAAAAACAGTCCTTCTTCTTGGGTAAGCCTGTTACTCTGGATAAATTCTCGTCATCACAACAAGGATTCTAGGAAATCTTACTCCTCCACAAAACTGGCATCATTCATAGAACTGCCCTTTTTAGGAGAAAAATAACAAATCACACTCTGATTTACTGCAAACCTTTCCTGAATTTACTGAATTCTCTAACACCTGAACATAAAGACTTAGGGTGTGAAATACAAGGGTTTAATTCGATTTCCTTTTCTCTCACAAAAAGCATGAAATTCAAAAGAACAAGACCAAAAGAGCAATATTATTTATAGCCATCTGCCATATGCTCATTCGTCATAATGTTGACAGATTTATAAATTGAGTAGACTTGAACAGGCAATACAATTCAACTAGAACAAGCATAAGTTTGAACAGCTGGCAGCCAACATCCTTCAGTTTGAACAGTCTGCCAATAGACAAGAGAAAGGAAGGGGAAAGGACAAATATGGTGCACAATCCCACAAACTGGGAATACTCAACACACATGAAGCAAAACAAAGCACCACTTACTTCAGATTTGGAAGACACATTTTCCTCCACATCGGAATCATTGGGATCTACAATATCATCAAATGGTGGCAGAGTAGGCGTCTTCTTTTCCAGTGTATCATTTTCAATTTTGACTCTCCCCACCTTGAGCTGAGATCGATCCTTTGTCTGTTTTTTGTCCACTGAACAAGTAAGAATCAGTGGTGGGGTGCTAGAAAAACTTTTAAATAATGAATCTGAGCCACTTTTTTTTCTTTTTTTTGCAGAAGGTTCATCAGAGTCCAGAACAGAGGGCCTTTTTGTGGGGGTCTTCTTTTCTTGCTGCTGCCCACCTGTTATGGTAGGGATGGGGATGTTTTCAGATTTTGGCTCCTTGGACATGGGCTTGGGTTCCTTGAAGGCCATCTTCGGAACTATTTTTTCATCTTTTATTGGTTTGTTTTCTTTGGGTTTCTTAGAGGATTCTTTGGAAGATTTGTTGTGTTCCCTGGAAGGTTCTTTGAAGGCACTTTTATGTTCTTTTGAGTCTTTAGAAGTTTTTTCCTTGTGCTCCTTTGTTAACTTGTGGGTCTTTGAAAAACTGTTACTACTGCTGCTGCTGCTATTTGTATTCAGAATCCTAGTTGGGTCCTGCAAAAAGGAGATGCAAAACTTTACTTACCAAAAAAAACAACTCCAAAAAAATCCTGAACCAGAAAAAGAACCCTTAAAGCCCCAAAAGACAGACACAATATGGACACAGGATTCATATTAAAAACTTGGAACTGCAGGTTGAAAACCAGAACCTGCAAATACCTATATAAGAACAGATACAAATCCCATAATTTTGGTCAACTTATCTGTTACAAAGTGGTGGGACATAAGCAGTTACCACTGCTTGTCAATATCTGCAAGACAAGTTAGTTTTGATATTAAGAATTAGATATGTTTTTTAAGAAACATCATAAGATGAACATAAAGACAGTTTAGGAAATGGTAACCATGACCATTAGCTATCAGAAAAAAAAAGTCATAAGGAAAGATCAGGATATGAACTATACAGTGTTAACAGAATTACTTCAGGATCAGAGCAAAACATGTGCTCCTGATGACATTTCAGGCAAAGCTTGACTCCTCTACTATGATCCTCTCTCCAGTTTTTGTCAGATCCTTTTTTTCCTCATACACAATAACAACTCTGGGTCCAGCCTGGCTATGGAAGACTTGACACACAGTATGTCAGCAGCCAATGTCTTTTTATGGAAAACCTCCTTTACTGAAAAAGCTTTCTTCGTTGTATTTATTGTTGCTGTGTCTTCTGAGTATTTAATTGCATTTTTTTAAATTCAACTGTTATAAGTGAGAAGGGTTTCTGAGAGAGTGATGACTCAGAGGTCCTATAAGATAGGCAAAAGCAGAAAGAGCAGAGCAGTATCATTCCTCACTCATATATATATATTTAGTTAGGGGTGTCCCAATACACACTTCCAGAATCACAGTTTTAATGAAATTCGTAGGTTGAAAAAGTGAACGATGAACAATACTTACAATAAAGTGTTCTTCCAATGTAATTTTTATGCAAAGAAAGCATTCTTTGAAATGGGGAACTACTGAAAAGGGTGCTAGTAGGTATAAATATTACAAATGTACTTCTGGGTTTGACTTTCAATAATTTGGTTGGTTATTCATCCAAGTCCCTTGCAAACTGCAGACCACAAGGGTGCCCAAAATTCTCTCATCTGTGTAAGACTGGATATGCTTTCATCTGTAAAAAATTCATGTACAAATCCCTAGCTCTATTTTATTTTCCAGCAATCCACACTTATCATTCTACTGTGCTAAGAATCTGCTTTTCTTTTTTGACCCTTGTACTGCTTTTGGCTGGGTTAATTTTCTTCATAGTAGCTTGTACAGGGCTATATTTTGGATCTGCGATCAAAACTGTTGATAGCACACTGATGTTTTAGCTATTGCTGATCAGCGTTCACACAGCATCAAGGTCTTCTCTGTTTCTCACACTGCCCTGCTAGCGAGGAGGCTGGGATGGGACGCGGCTGGGGCAGCTGACCCCAACTGACCAAAGGGCTACTGTATACCATATGATGTCATGCTCAGCATATAAAGCTGGAGGAAGAAGGAGGGGGGGGACATTCAGAGTGATGGCGTTTGTCTTCCTAAGTAACCGTTACGCGTGATGGAGCCCTGCTTTCCTGGAGACGGCTGAACACCTGCCTGCCCATGGGAAGCAGTGAATGAATTCCTTGTTTTGCTCTGTGCTTGCGTACAGCTTTTGCTTTCCCTATTAAACCACCTTTATCTCAAGCCATGAGTTTTCTCACTTTTACCATTCTGATCCTCTCCCCATCCCACCATGGGGGAGGGAGTGGGCGGCTGCATGGGGCACAGCTGACCCCTGGGTTAAAGCACAACAACCCTCTAGTATGTAAGTAGATGCGGTATGTCTGGCTGTCTAGCACTGCCACAGATTTACAGAAGCACAGAGGGCAAAACATATTTAGCTTTTCTTCCCCCTTACTTAACCACCATTTTACCCACAACATAGATGGGATAGCAGCAGTGCACTGGAAACTGAAGGACCAAAGCAGGACATGGCCAGCCTCAACCTCCACAGGGGCTGACTAATTTTAAAAATACAGTCAGTAGAACTGCTCTAAAAAAACCCCACCCAATAAAACAAAGCAGAATTAGCCTGTTTAATGAAAGTTAACAAGAGGAGAAATTAAGACTGAGAATACATCCACTTGTGTGCTCCCTGTTAGCAGAAAACTAACTACTTATGACTTGTCCAACTGGGATGTGTTAAGCCAGTATTTAATGCTGTAGGACCTGACCAGTTTACACATATTGTATGTGCAAAAAGAACAGTATCTCCCTTCTCCTCTGTAGCAATAGGTGGAAACAATTAATTAAAAATAATTACTTTGAACCATTTTTCCCTTCTCATTATCTTAACTCGTTAGTGAAACACTGAATTTTCACTCAGTGCTGTACAAATTATTCAGTTGTGCTTTGTGTTCAGATGTTTCTTGCATCAATACTGCAGATGTATTTTTCAGTCACATTTGGAAATCTAACTATGTATCTGTATAACATATATGCATCAACATTAACAATGGGCAGAAGCATCAACAATGAACAATATTATCATGACATCTGAATGTCTGAACATAAGACACTTCCTCATTTCCCAGGCCAGTAATTAAAAAACAAAAATAAAAAAGCACTAATCATTCCTTGAGATGTTTTACTTTAGTCAAAAGTCCTTTCTTGGTGGGGTTTTTTAAATTAAAAAAAAAGAAAGAAAAAAGCTCTATATTTTGTTTGACACCCCAAAGATTAACATATAAACTAATTATTAATGCTTTTATCTTCACATCTTGTTCTATCATGCCAGAGCTGTAAGTGTTGCCCTGGGGAGGAATAAAATATGTGCCATTAATAAACTAGATGGAGTCCTTATGTTTCTTATTGGTCTCCTTACCATGCATTTTAAATTGCTCCAAAAGGAGAGACTCATTTTGGTGGTTTTCCAACAGATGAGAACTGTGAAATAGGTCCTGAGGCGCAGTAGTATTAAAACCAATATGAACTTGAGATCTTTCTTGCCTTTTCAATTTTAAACCTAGACTTCTTTCCTCTTCTTAAAACATGGAAGCTGACGTTTCCACAGAAATCATAGTAAAAGTATATGACATACTTATGATACAGACATACATACACACCCCTGCCATGCTCTCTGAGAGCTACTCTTTCATTATGACAGCCAACCCATTGCTTTTATATTTGCATTCATTCTCTAAGTAAAAAAAAAGTATCTCTTCTTATTTCCTAAGTTTCTGCAAGGACTGTAACAGAGGCCAACAATAACTTACAGGAAACAGCAAGAGGAACATAAAATTTGTAAGACAGAAAAAAACCCCAAATATATTCACTGGTAAAATTATATCAGACTTAATGATGAATGTAGAAGGCTGGTAGGGATGAAATGTGGCTAAATATTCACATCATGTACGTCATAGATCTTACTGAAAATCAGAATGTACTTTCAATCCATTTTCTTATTTATCAAAATCTAACAGTGTGTTTAAATGTTTCTTTTCCTTCCTACCTTAAGAAGTCTTGAAAGAAAGAAGAGTGAATGATGTATTTCTGCTAAGAGGACAAATAAAACAGTCTTTTCTCAAGTTAATATGTAAAACGAAGATCATGGGGTTTTGACAGGTAAGATATTTACACACCGCAGCTTACATTATTCATGAATACGTGTATTCATCAAATGTTGAAGCAACCCATGTGAATGTTAGACTTTGATAAATTGCATTACAAACATCAAAAGAATAAGAGAGGATTACATGCATGTTAAAATACCTGCAGATGTTTTCTTTTCTTAAGCCAAGTAACACCATGTACATATAGTACTTCACGATACATAACCTCTTTCATAGAGCAGTACTGACAGATCTTTAAAAGCAAATAGTTTAGAAAGCATGATAAAAATCTAAGGTTTTACCAACAGAGAAAAACCGTGCTACTGTCACTGTTGCAATCAACTCCTGCTCAGATTTTGGCTAACAGTTCATCCTAAGGCCTAATGTATGCTGGGAGCAGGGAGAGCATCACGCCGGCAGGACAGGTGGTCACAAAGAGCTAAAAGGCCATTGTGCAGCCATGATCACCTCCAAATTGCTGTCTCCTCCAGCCATCATCTTTGTCTGGCAGTTTCGTCAGAATCTGCTCACTTATGGAAACTGATATAAACCAAACCTCCAAGCTGGAAGGTATAAAACAACAGCTTACGAAGAAAAAAGCTTTTGAAGTGGATCCATCAGCAGCTGGACTGCTGAGGCTTTCATGTTTCCCAGTGTCATACAGGGGATGCCTGCCCCATGACGGGGGAGGAAGGATGAGCACTCTCACCATCAGCTAGGTAACAAATTTATTTTTTTTTTTCCCCGCTCCTAAGTGCATAGATTACAGGTTATAAATTATGGAACTGTATGACTTGAGTGGTGAATAAGTGAATTCACATGATAGACTAGTCTGGGCAAAGGGGACTGAGCCTGTTTGTTGTGTTGGTGGTTGTCATTTCTTAATGAGCTCATGAAATAAAGTTTATATCACAGAGTACATTGTCCTGTAAATTTGAGAGATCCAAACAGACCACGACAGCTGCTCAACACATAACACATTTGCAGATTAAAACACTTCTGTAACTACAAGGCAAAAAATGGTGTTGAACTCTCTGTATATCTTGCAGGGTGGGATTCTGACTTCACACCACAAAATGTAATTCCTAATTTGGTTGAACATGAGTTTGAATAAGCAGTATTCTCTGGAAATAATTTCGAACTTCTCCAGTTGCTGACAGACATTAGGAACCTAATTAGTAAATGAAGCAATTGCGAGGAGAGAGGGGCGGTTCATTAAATTTTATGAAGTCATTAAACTGAGCACATTGGCATGGCCATGCCAGTCAAGTGTACTCTGGGTTTAGTCTACAAATTTAGGATTAGCGATCATAAAAACATGTATTATTTTCATTTGTAATAAAAAAAAAAAAACAACATTTCTTCAAATGTTATATATTGTAATGTGTCCATCTTAAGCCAATGGACTAGAATTAGCCTTAAATACGCGTCCTGCTCTTAAGACACAAGAGGAGAAATATCTAAGAGGAATTACTTGCTCAAGGAAATTCACATTTCTGTTGAATACAAATGTGTTTATTCTTGAATAAAAACACTAACTGATTTGGGAGAAAAAACCCACAACATTTTGAAAGCCTCCACCAATAGCGTGGTATTCTTCCACTTGCTAGCTACATGCTGGAGATTAATTTACCTACTGCTAGTTCTTCTTACAGATTAATACCGTATTGCACATTTACAAAGCTTTCCACACTTCAGCTTGTCCAGCCCACCAAACTATTATGACCAATGACATCAGGAGAATTAGAAGCAGATGGAGAATTATAAGGCTTACTGGTTTCACAGCGAAAGTCAAAAGGGGGAGCATAAAACAATATTACCTTTTTTTTCTGGTCACACACAGGCATAAGAGCTTTGGGGATTTTTGTTTATAAAGTAAACCTAATTTCACTGCAGCTGACACTACAGCTCATTTCAAAAAACATAATCATCCCAAGAAAACTAATCAAGCTGTTTCATTGTATTCTGTGCATGTAGTATTTACATAACACAAACATGCACAGTAATACAACTGATTTAAAAGTAACACAAGTATCTGTAGCTAGCTTACAGCTATTTTTGTATTCTGAAAAAATGCATGAAGTAAGGTTTCATGCATTTCTGCCTGTCCTCTATTTCCAAGACTAAAGCTTTGTTTCAGAATCACAATACTGGAGCTCACTAATACCATCTCCATTAAATTAAATGCAAAATCATGGAACTTCAGAAATACAAACATCTATATTTTTTAGTACATATATGAGAACAGTATGCACTGGTTTTACTGTCTTGACTGCAATTCTCCTCTAACCAGAAAGTCTATGTAGTGCTTTGTAATGGCAAATACATAAGAAATATTCTTAGGTTCTGGTTTTCCATATGCAGAATTTAAAACTGACCTCAAAGTTTACTTTGATATTCACAGACACAAAACAAACCAAAACCAAGCCAAGCACACCAAAGGGCTATTGCTTCAGCACAAAAATCCCCAAACCATCCAGTACAGACACCTGGAGTACACGCACCCACAGTTTTGGTACAGACAACTTACACCCAAGAACTAAAAAGACCTTTGTACAGCTCCTATTGTAGAGGCATATCTAAATGAAATTTGGACATTGAAGTTGTTCCATCACTGGGGTTATTCCACATTACAAAACAAAAAATCTGTTTACACATTGGCTGGGACTCTCCTGCCCCCGAACCAAAACAAAAACCCTAAAGACAAAAATCCAAGGGTTCCCAGCTCCCAGGACTTGTAACAAAAAACCCAAACTTTTTTGTTATACTAAAACCAAGGTTACTTCATGTTTCCATTTCTCAAAAACAACTGATGATCCTCAGTAAGGCAGATATTTACAACTCTTTCTTTATAAGACACAAGAACAGTTGCTCATTAGTGTGTGTTTTAAGTTGGACAAGAGGAGACAAAGATTGATGGGGGAGGGGAAAATTGAATATTCACACCGACTGGCAAGAAACAGTGTATTCATATAACATCTCTTTCCACAATTAAAAACTCTAGTGAACAGCATACAAAGTTGAAAAAAGAATGATTTAAAATAGACAGCATTGCTGCTGAACATCGCTATTTTGAAACCAAATAGTCAAAAAACATTCCTGGGTAACAATTTTACAGATAATGAATTCGATCCTGAGATGGGATGCACATCTAACCTCCTACTGACTCCCGTAACTTCCTGCTATGGGTCAAACTCACTGCAGGTGGTTGGGTTGCTTCAGCAAAAATAGAAGATTTCAAACATTCATTTACAAGGATGAGTGCAGCAAACACACAACACTCCCTTCACCCTGCTTCACCCCAACCACACTCCACACTTGTCAGGTTTCTACACAAGACAGAAGTTCATTGTCTGAATATGGTTCAGAAAATGACATCCCAGGTTAACATTTGCTTATGAAAGAATTTACGCTGAAGATTCAAGTATTCCCGTGGTGTACAGTTACTAGATAGAGCATTAGTGTAGGACCTTGGTATCATGGCTGCACCTCCCTGAAGTCCTTCTGCAGGTATTTGGTTTGCTTATTTAGGCCAAGCCTCAGTATGCCTGCTTTGGCATGCAATGCAAGACATGGGTGAATCAATATTACAGTCAAATCTGAAGAAGTGATTGGAAACTGAACTCTGGAGAGCTACCCAACCTCACGAAAACCCCTGTTACAGATGTAAAGTGTCGAAGTAACTCATCTTCAGTATCCAAGTAGATGTAGATGCATCCTAGTCTAAGCAGTCAGACAGTTATCTTCAGCACCTTGCATAACTTTGGCGTAGCCAGGTGTCTTCCTTCTAGGCATTAAGGAGTCATTTTACCATGCCAAAATAAGCACATTCAGTCTAATCCTCAGATTCAATCTACCTCAGCTCCTCATTAGGAAAATAAAAATAATCACACATTCAGATATCCTTTAAATGTTACAAGACCACCTGCATTAGAGATTGTGAGGCACTCAGGTACAATGCAACCAGGCAGGAACATGTCAAAGAACTTCTTCCCCCTACCCCCTCCCCCATATCCTTACTGTTGTGATACATTCTTATCAATGGATACACTTAGGCATACACGTAGTTCATTACCTGACAGTTCTTACAAGATATGAGACTTGGGCACAGCTACAGAACATGAAAGTTATTGATAAAAATGGGTATTGCCTCTTGCAGTACATGCACAGCAAGATTAAGTAACATTTCAAATAGACAAGATGCTAAGACAGACAATCAAAACCTAAATAATTTAAGAGAATGGAGAAAAGGCATATATGTTAATTCATTTACAAAGCAAGCCATTCTGCTGCATTTCTTATTTGAATGAATAACAAGATGCTTTTTATTCTCCCACATCGTTATTCATTTTGTCAAACTGAAGAACTTATCTGCTGTTTTGGGAAGGTCCATTTGTATTACTCAAAAGCTTTGTTGGATTATACCTTTTTACCACATTCTAGGTTGGGGATTCTATTTTATGTCCTAGACACTGATGATGCATTGCTGTCCTTGAAACATCTAGTAAAGAATTAACCCCCGAAATTTAAACAAAATTAAAAATCCTAAAGGACACAACTTCAAGTTTCACTCTACCGAATTATCTTAAAAAAGTATTAAAAAAATACTTAATAAATGAAACTATTATTGCAGTATTTTCTCATATCCTTTACATTTCCATAGATCACACTTCCATCACCAGAATCCCCTAATACTACAACAGACCATTACAATTCCTTCTGGAAAAGGAGGAAAATAATTGTGCATGTACCAGAATCAGAAAAGCAGAACCTTCATTGGCAGCTATTCTCACAACGATCCTTGTTCTCTGTTATTTTCATGGGGCAAACCATAAGTTCACAACAAAGAAACGTCAAGACCTATTATCACCAGACTATGTCATGAGACTGCAAAACTACCTAGAAATATTTTTTTCCTCAAGTTAATTCCCAGGGAAAGCACCACTAGCTCAAGTATCTTCTAGCAAAATAAGTCTCACCTTTGGCCCATGAGATGATTTCTTCTTCACTTCAGAAAAAGACAGGGAGTTAGTGGGAAGGTTTGGGAGATGAAGGCTCTGTCCTGAAGAGAACGATGTGCCATCTGACATTACCATGATCTGTTGTAAGAGGGAAAGCATGTCAGTCAAACATTACCAACAGAGACAGAGAGTTTCACCTGCTTAAGGAACTAGCAAATCGTATTGGTAGCAGAAAAGTAGTTCTCCAACAAATAGTACCCATGTTTCTTCTCAAAAGGGGATGTATTAATGAAACCACACTGCCATCCTCTATTTAATGAACAAACCACATCTTTCAATTTCCATGCAAATACAACGCAAGCCCCTCAGAAAATGGTATAACTTGTTCTATTATGGCTGTTTGCATGCCATGGCACCCGAGTCCTTAGCACCCCTTCTCTTGTCCTGAGCAATGTCCAGTACACTTGAAAGTTCATCCCACTTGCAGTAAAATGTTTTGCAGGGTACTGACATCCCATAAATCTGTATGAGCAGCAGGCTTTGCTTTCAACTAGAGTGATGTGAAGGAGGACTGTAATGGGTATAGGTGGCAGGGGTGGCCTCTGTGAGGGGAGGCCAGGGACTTCCCTGTGCCACACACAGCTGGATCCAGCTAGCTCCAATGGACCCATTGCAGGACATGTCTGAGCCCCTCAGGCAAGATGGTGGTGCCCTACAGAAAACAGGTTTAAGAAAGCATGCAATGGCAGAACGGCTTAGGACAAAAAAAGTGTGAGAAACTGCAGCATGAACACCAAGGTCAAAGAAGGAGGAGAAGAGGTGCTCCAGGCGTTGGAAAAGGTATTTCCCTGCGGACCATGGAGAGCCCATGCTGGAGCAGTTCTTGAAGGACTGCAGCCCACAGAGAGGCCCTGTGCTGGAGCAGGGGGAAAGTGTGAGGAAGGAGAAGTGGCAGAAAGGAGCTGTTATGGATTGATTGCAAACCCCATTCGCCATCCCCCCCCTGCACCACTCAGGGAGGTGGAAGAGATAGACAAGTCCTGAACAAAGGAGTGAAGTTGGGCACAGGAAGGTGATGTCAGGGGTGGTGGTGCATTCTTCTTTGGTTTTTTGTTTCTCATTACTCAAATCTATTTTAATTTGCAACAAATTACATTAATTTTCCCCAAGTCAAGTCTGTTTTGCCCATGATATTAACTGGTAAGCAATCTCCGTGCCATTATCTTGATCCATGCTCCTTCTCATCCTACTTTCTTCCCCTGCTGTGTTGAGGAGGCAGAGGGAGTGCCCAAGCGGCTGGGTGGGAGTTCAGCCCTTAGCCAAGGTTAACCCACCACAAAGACACACTGTAAAAACAGCCTGAGGTTTTAATGGGAAAGCAGTACAGTTCTAACTTCAACTTCTAACTTTAAGCTTTGTCTTTATCCAGAGTACAGCAAACTGGATGGCTAGTGAGCAAGCAGCATTTTTCCTATAACAAGGGTCTAGCTCCCTTTCTTGATTTTAAAGACTTCTAAGTACAAACAGAGTACCACTTCCAGAGGCCACAGATAAATCAGCCATCACAGAGCAATTACCAGACATGTAAAGATTCCTGCCTTCCATCTGAGAGAAATTCAGCTAGTTCCTGTATTCTGCTCCAGTGCTGCTGTGCCAGGATTTTATTGCTTCCTAGCACAGCTATTCTTTTATCTATTGTTTCAAAACCCTAAATGCCAGAGACAGCTTACCTGCTGTCTGACAAGCCCTGCAAAGCTGGAAAGAAGTTGCAGAACTCTGCACCTGCAAGGAAACATCTCTCTCTTCCCACAGGTTCCCATGCACATAGTCACACTTGGTTTTGTGGATGCCTGTGTGGTCACCCCTGCCTCTTCACCTAACCAAAACATCCTCTGATATTGGGGACAGAGAGAGACTGACCCATCACATGCCTTATGCATATTATGTTAAAGGAGGAATGAGAAGTTCAAAATTGGGAAATCTAGGATGTAGATATGTGTATTCCACATTTTACCTCTCCAAGTCAAGATGATATTTACTGCCTATAGCTTCTTCAAGACACGATTTAATTTTTTTTATTTTTATTTAAACACCACTCCAAATAAATCTTGTTGCACACATTTTTGTTCAAAAGATCATGTGGTAGCCTGGAGAATATTAACGGACATGCCTAGGTAATAAAAATGACTTTTATCAGCCTGTAAGTTGAGCATTACCTTTCAACACTGCTGCTAGAATCCAAAGGTAGAGGAAGAAGGCAATCAAGTTGTTCTCCTTCCTTGACCATAGGTTCATGTATTAAAAAAAAAAATCTTTAGAAGTTATTTATGTATTCAAATATTTTGTGAAGTAAGATTCCACACAGGGCATGTAACATTTTCTCCCCAATTCCTCATTTCTATTTCTCAGACACCTAAACCAGAGCCTGTCAGGAGCCAGAACTCTCAAAAGTCAGCTGGGTAAAAGCAACAGGGTCCTTCTTGTAATCATGGTAATGTCAATAGCAATTAGCTATTGTGAATCACAGTAGAGTGATTTCATTTAGCCTGACAAATACTTTTTATCCTCAACTTGCCAAGGGTTTTGGTTGAATTCAGCCCAGCTGAATGCAAGAGAAGGCACAAGCTAACAAAGAACGATCAGCAACAAGGACAAGGAAAATCTGTAGCCACACATGCGTACCATAAACCTGTGCAACAGATAGAGAAAATGCATGTCTCTATCATTATTTCCTCTCACAGACTAAATCAAATGGGTGGTTAAATAAGATTGTTATCCTTTAAATTAAACTTAATGCAGTGGTTTAAACCCACAAACTTCATAGAAAATACCAATAGCATTAAAATCAAATCATCTTTCAGAAAAAATAGACATAAGATTATCCATTAATTACAGAGTTTAAGCAGGTATTTTATTAACACAAAGCAGTTTTATTCATACACTTATATGACAGAAAGATGCATATCCATGTCGAAGAGAAATATAGTCAGGAGGATCAGGGTTTGCCCTACCTTGAAATGAAAAGCAAAGAAATTAAAGATTCTGCCAAGGATTCTTTCTCCTAGGGTTGGAAGCTGCCATTTTCTCCCTGAAGCACAGAAGTCTGACTCACCAAAATAAACTGAGGTTCAACCACTGCATACATTTTCTTTTTAAAATTCAGAAACATTCCAGTTTAGAAATATTTATATACTCATCATTAGGCACAAACATTCTTAGAAAGCTGACATCTTTAAAAAGTGTATGGACTTCTGAGATATCTCAGTTTCTGGGCAAGTATTTGGACCATTAACAGTCTCAGTATTGCAGACTGTGTGTTTAGAAACAGGATGAGTGTCTATAGAAAGATCTACAGGTCCAGGATGAACAGCATTTAGTACCAGATGAGGTCTGGCCAATTTGGCAAATCTAGTTCCACACAGAGAGAAAATAAATCCCATACAATTTGTAGAAGACAAAATCTGGACATTCCAAATTGTGAGCCCCCAAAATCTCAGTGCATTGAATCCTGCAGCCTGTTATTTCCTTATAAACCTTATGAAAAATGGCAATTGTAGATTCAAAATTTTAATGTGATTAACAATGCATGCAGTAAGACAGAACTTTAGTTCAGACTACAGACCTTATCGTCTGCAAAGATGACAAAAGACCAAGAAAAATCTCTTGTAAAATTAACTTTTTGGCTCCTATGATAAAAAAACACACCTCTGTCTTCCAAACTCATCTCTGTCAGAAAAAGGATATGGTCCTCATTAAAGTCCCCTATATCAGGAAAAAAAAAAAAAAAAATCACTTGCCTTCTCCTCCCTCTCAAAAAATAAAGTTAATATTAACATTAAGTAACTCTCTAGGAACTCCTCCAAAATGCTTGTTTTCTTTGACAAGATTATCTATATAAAAAGCCCCTATATTACCAAACACTTTTGGAATTGAGATGCATTTCCCTTTTGGCTAAATTTAGGAAAGAGACAACTATATATCCAGTTTAAGTACTACTACTGAAAGAGCTCAGCTGACAGAGTGATAGCAACTTCTGCAGTGGGTAACCGCCCTTTGTCCTCCCATTCGTTAAACACAGAAACACACAGCCTGGCAGATGTACTTCAACCAGCTTTCAGTGCAAGTCCCTAGTTTTACATTGCCACTGTTACACTGGCAGCATATACTGCTTATGCCTGTGTGTGCATGTATATGTATATAGCTATATTAAGTCAAAATACACAAAATAAGCAAAAGGTGAGAATGGACATACCACATCAAGCCACTAATTCTGCAGCAAGAATGCAAGCTCATCAAAAGCACAGCAAGAGTTCTCCAGTACAGCCATGCTATATGTAATTTTTTTACTCGTTTCCTCCTGTCTGCACTCTAAGTTTCCTGCTAGCTTGTAGTTGCAAAGAAGAGTACATCCTAATAGGCTGAGGACACTGCCGCAGCCCATGCTTAAGCTAGGTATCAAAGACCACCTGCAGCTGGTACTTATTTGCTCCCACAATGAATCACTTCAGTGACAAAAACAGGAACATTATTAATTCCCTCCTCAGCCCCTTCCACAAGCCAACAGCTCAGTAGGATCAAACAAGCTGGTGGAATAAGACACCAGTGCTGGTGTTAACGAAGCAAGGTGAGACAAGAGCTGGGCTTTAAACATGTCAGTTTAAACAGCCATGTAATCACACTCTGAATTTACCAGTATGTAAAGCATGAAGTTCCACTTATAGTTTTGTTGTTCCCTCAAAGATTTAGCTTGACTACATTTAAGCAGCACAGAGGTCTAGCTAATCTCACAGCTTGTCTTTGATGTGGTCAATAGTGACAGTAATAGGCCATGTAAACGTAGGGAGTTAGACATGCTTGTTCACAAATGTTAAATGGTTTTAAAAAACAGTTGGGTGGATTGGAGTACCTGGTTCTGGATAAGCATTAGAAACATGGCCAAGATAAAACAGTTAGTTTCACGGTTTAATACCAGGGTACAAATGATATGGGGATTACAGAATAGGTTGTATTAAGAAACATGTCAAGGGAGGCGATTGTCCCACTCCGCACTGCACTGGTGCGGCCCCGCCTCAAGTACTGTGTGCAGTATAAGAAGGACATCAAACTATTAAGAGTGTGTCCAGAGGAGGGCGACAAAG